GTTTAGTATATTCTAACCCAAAAGGTATTACTTACTTCATTAGCATGGTCCCACCCAGCTATGTGGAAGTCAGTGTCAAGGGCTAAGGAAACCATGCAGAACAATTGGTCAACTGCAACACAGTTACCTGAGTGGAAACTTGAATAATAAATAGAAGTTCACCAAATGGACAGTAAGAAAAAAGGATGTTGCAGGCCAACGAGTAACATGTACCACAGCAGAAGTATGAGGAAGTATAACTTGTATAGGAGCCTGGCAGGTAGATAGATAGACACAGTGAAAGGAACTGAGGCTGATCAAATGTCTTCAAATGAAGCTGCCTGTCTAAGCTGGGTCCTGCAGGGAAGCAAAACAACTAAGTACAGTGTTTGTGGGAAGGGTGTTTAGAGAGTGATTTATTTGAAGAAAAGACTTTTGTGCTTGTAGAGGCAAATCCCACATCTGTAGGTCAGCCCTCGAGAGCATCCAGGGAGGCAAAGTCTTAAGTCTTCAGCACACAGTCAGTGTGTCAGGCTGCTAGGTTTGAAGGCTGTCTATCAACTTTAGAGGCTGACACATCCAAGGTGCTTGTTGGGAAACAGGGTCACAGTTGGCTGACTTTGTATACTGACAAGTCCAAAGTCAGCAAGTATGATAGGCTGTGGGTTCAAGTATGGAGACCAGGAGCCAGACAGACAAGCATAGACAAGATAAAAATCTCTCTTGCTTTCTTACCAGTCTGAACATAAATACCATGTTGTTCACACCCTTAAACAGATAAGTCTAATGATATCTTTATAGATCTTGTTGTTAAGTGTCATAGTCACCCTGTGAACAAGACTTAAACTCTGTTCTATAACTATCATCATTTCTCTATGTTCATAGAGTTTCCAATGGCATGTGGTTTAGGAAGTGGATGCCACTCCTGCTTCCAAACCTGAATCAGTCTGGGAGCTTGACCAAACGCTGTCTAAATGGGTAACCATGATGGCATTTGACACACCAGTGGCACAACATTCAGCATCACAGCAACCTTATTTCAGTATAGCAAATTGACAGACCAGTGCTGTACCACTTAGAAGAGTGTTCATCCCAAACACAATTTAAACTCAACCCTCACCAAAGCAAGAGAAACCACCTTTCAGAATCTAACTGTTTCACTCATGATTCTCCACACTGCAGACTTAGTTGGCCCAACTGTCTTTTAAATACCATGCCAGCCCACCAGGTCCTAAACTAAGATTAAGACTAAACCAAGATGCTTCTAGCCCACAACTCATTGTTAGCTAAACCCAGCAAATCCAGTCAGTTCACATTGGATTGTGAAGGGAAAAAAACCTAAACATTCCATACCCAACGGCCCTCACCAAGATAAGAAAAACCACCTTCATGAATCCAGCTGCTTCACACATAAGCCTCCTAACAGATCTTGTAATCTTGCCTTATTAACATCATAGAGTTTGGAATTTCTAACACACTGAATAGTTATTCTAAGCACAATGACTACATTGACGCACATTAACATCACACTATCTTAAGCAACTTGGATGTTATTCGATCATTAATAAGAATTTTAAGCAAAGATCAATATGATCAAATTTGTGATTTTTTTGAGAAGTAATTGAGATTATATTGCAGGAAAAAAATGGAGTAACATAAAGAGAGCCATGGAGATACGTTGAATCATATAGTTTAGACAATGACTGATAAAGAACTAAAACCCAAACCTATTCCCACTGAGTCATTTCCTCGTCAGAGCAACCAAATTGGACAGTTGAACTGCCCCCAGCGTTTCCGAAGCTGCAGTCTTGACAGAAGTAGACTGCGCCATGACAGCCAACTGCTTAACAGCTTTGTGCCATCGAGGCAGCTGCTAAAGAACAATATATGAGAGGAATTCCTGAATTCAATGAATTATTAATGAATCTGGAATAACTTTTAAAAAATTCTGATTTGGAGAACTAATAGATACTAGTGTAATTAACAAAGGTTCAAAATCCAAGGAAAAGAAGCAAAATATTCAGTAAAAAAAAATGTCCTAATAGATCCTTAAAGGGACAGACCTGGAGTTGAAGTGTAGTCTGGAGATAAGAGATTAGATATACAATATGTAGATGTTGTGTGATGCGTAAGAAAATAAGAAATGTGCTGAGATATGAAATAGAAGAAAGGGAGTGTGTTAGAGATGTATCCTGTCTTCATACCTTTTCAATCTTTATGCAGAACAAATCATTCAGGAGGCTGGGCTTTATGAGGAGGAATGTGGCATCAGGATTGGAGGAAGACTCATCAACAACCTATGTTATATAGATGACACAATCTGGGTTGCTAAAACCGAGGAAGGCCTGAAGCACTTGCTGCAGAAGGTCTAAGACTATAGTCTTCAGTATGGATTGTAGCTCAACATCAAGAAGACAAAGATTCTCATCACTGGGCCAATTGGCACCACCATGATGGATGAAGATAAACTGAGGTTGTTAACACAATTTGTTTGCCTCCTCAATCACCACTCTTGGCACCAGCAGTCAGGAAATCAAAAGGCAAATGGCATTAGGTAAATCTGCTGTCAGGGACCTTTCCAGAGTACTGAGAAGGAGCAATGTCAGTCTAGAGACTAAGGTGCATCTAATCCAGTCCATGGTCTATGCAGTTAACTACTATGCATCAGAGAGCTGGATAATGACTAAGTAAGATAGAAGAAGAATAGAAGATAGAATTAATGCCTTTGAGTTGTGATGGAGAAAAATTCTTGAACATACCATGGACTGCCAAGAAAACAAATAGATTTGTCTTGGAGAGGGTGAAACCAAGCTTCTCCTTGGAGTTTAGGATTTTGAAACTCTGTCTCACGTACTTTGGGCATGTGGCTAGAAGGGACCAATCCTTGGAGAAGGACATTATGCTCAGAACAATAGAGGGACAGCACAGGAGAGGAAGACCCAGATAAGATGGATTAATACAGTAACTAAGGCACTGGGGGTAGGTGTATCGGAGTCAGTGAGACTGGTACAGGGCAGGGAAGGGCAGACTTCAGAGTTATGAGTCACAGGCGAATTGATGGCACATAACAAGAGGTGTATTTTCATTTATACCTGTTCAGTTTGTGGTAGCTTGATAATCTCTAGGTAAAAAATCTCCAAACACAATGTTTGAGGAGAGTTCTTGTGACAAGTGTACGCTAGAGATTAGTTTATCTTCAGCTTGGTGAAAGATTGTATATAACAGAATAAAGGGGGGAAATGCATACATGAGGAGAAGAAAATAGAAACCACAACTAAAATATGATTAATAAAAAATTATAAGAAAGGGGGGAAAGGGCTGAGAATGGTTGCAAACATGAAGAATGTAACCATGTCACCAAACTGTACAGGCAGAAACTGTTAGTGTATGTTCCATTGTGTATATTTTTTAAAATAATAAATGAATAATTAAAAAATAGTCAATAAAGCACAAAAACCCTATACAAAACTAAAATATGATTAAAAACATTAACCAGATTCTGTGAGAGTTATTTTTAATGTCAAAGAGTTTATTTCTGAACATCTTCGAAAAGTTTTGTTAATTATAAAGGGGCTCTGTTGTTAACTGAGGATGTTAGACTTCATCTTGCATACGTTGGTCATGTTGTTAGGAGGGACAAGTCCTTGGAAAATAGCATCAAGCTTGGAAAAGTGGAAGATGACCAAGGAGAGAAAGACCCTCAACCAGATGAACTGACACAATGACTGCAACGATAGCCTTAAACACAGTGGACACTGTGAGAAGGGCACAGGATAGTCAAGGCTCTTAGGAGTTATTTAAATTTGATGACCCCTGTGAACTACAATCATTGAAATGATAGCAGATTGGTTTTGCCCAGATTTAAGCAAAGTAAAAAACACATTGACTTTTGTCACATGTTGCTGACCCCTCTCATAAAATAAATATTCTGCTAGTAAAAATATATAGACAGTTGTCAGAGCTTTCAAAGATTGCATATAAACTTGTGATGTTTACAAAAGCATTTTGTAATAAATAGACTTCATCTGTGAGTCCATTTTTTCCCTTTATTGGTGCCTAGAATAAAGATAATTTCACAATTCTGATTTTGATTAATTTTCTAAGAAGAAAATTGCAAGACTTAACCCTATGAAAGCAAGAATCTTAGATGAAAATATTTTACCATCTTTCCAAGGGCAGTGTACCTGTCTGATTGCAAATCTATGGGTACAATATTAGTTACAATGCGATAAGAGTTAAGTATGCAGTTACAGAATTCAAATATAAGAGATGCATCACTGAATTATGAGATTTTAGGGGATTTGCAATAAATAATGTACCCAAAACAGGATAATTAAAATAAAGTCACAGAAAGATGAGAAACATCTGGTGACACTGAGGACAGACAACAATGATGAGATAGAGAATATGATATGAAATGATGAATAATGGAGCATTGAATCATATGGAGATGCTTTACCCCTTAATTCACTAATTTATTTTAGACAATACAGTGTCATGATTTATATAATGTTTTTGAAAAGATGCAAATGAGCGGAAAGCAAATTTATGAAAGCTTATTAAAGAAAGCAAATTTCAAGTGTTAGCGTCCATTCTGTCCTAGTTCTCATCTTACACCTGTGATAGCACTGTAGTCTTGATAATACCACATAATCAGGCAAATGTCTGTTCCATATAAGGAGAATATATAAATATTCTAGAAAGATTTCCTTCATATATAATTAAAATTTTATTAAATCAGGCACCTAACAGTTTAAATTTTAATTGTCTGAAAACATTTACTTGTCTGAAGGCTAGTTAGACAAGGCATATTTGTTATAAAGTTAAAATATACTTTAACATGGCGAATTGTCTATGTTGAACATATACAAATGATTATTGTTTTCAGACATCCCAGTGATGGTGAAAATTGTACAAGACCAGACAGCATTTCCTTCTGTTATGCATAGTATTCCTGGGAGTCAGAGGTGACTACATGCCAGCTAACAACAGTCTTTGCCATTGGTCTCCTTTCTTCCTAGGGTTCCTTTAGCCAGCAGAACTTACATCAGGACTGCAGGACTCCGATCAACTGTAGCCTGGGCAATGGCATCTCTTGCTGAAATTAAAGTAAGAAAGTGTTTTCACCCTTTTTTAATAATTCATGTAACTAGGTTCTTATTGATAACATCTGGTTCCCCCTCCCCTCGTCCCACATCACACACACAAATTAATGCAGTAATAATGCTCTGGTGGCCTGCCCTGCAATCCTGGAGGCATGCAGTTCTAATCCACCAGCTGCTCCATAGGAGAAGGATGGGCAATATCCTCTCATAAGATTAACTGCCTCTCAAAACCTGCCAGAGTCAGCTATGGGTTGATTCTTACTTGATAGCACAAAACAATGCATTTTTAGACATTGTTCAACCACTGAAAGTATTTTTACTGTAGAAATGCTGACTTAAAACATTACGACATTACCACATTTTGTCAATTCTGTTTTCTAAGTCATATTCAAAAATGTAAAACTCTACTGTTTAAAACTGTTTTCTCATATAGTCAAAAATCTTGATTAGGATTTGTAAATGTTTTGTGAACGTAAGAAATTATGTTTACATTCAAATGCCCTTGATTGTATTGTTATTCTACTATTACTTTTACATTATTTCATCTTTTTGTACAAGATTGTAAATAAGTCCCTTAAACATCTGCTATTCTACTTTTAAGGTTTCAACATTTTCTTTGCCAGGATGTACTATTTTTTTTACCACCAAGACATTCTAATTTCTATAATTTACCTCTCGTGTAATGAAACTACCATAATACTTTTCTTCTCCATGTTAACTACCTTCTATAGGAAATATCGTTTTCCTCTCAACCGCTGACTACTTGATTGAACTAAAGAGTTTATCATCTGTCAGAATTTCTCTTAAAATATATTTCAAAAGTTTTTGGTTGGTTTTTTTAAAAAAAATTTTCTTTTATATTTGCTCACAAAGTTCATATACATTGTGTTTTATGCTATTCTTCATTCATATTGTGTTTCATACAATCATTCCAATGCATTATGTCTTATAATATCACTCACTGTTAGGGCTTGCCTGTCATTACCCAAACTTTTCAGTTCCCTGCCGGATCCTTCCCATTTCCTTCACCCCTCCTTCCACCCACATATAAAAACTTTTGAAATGCGGTTTGGTGAATTTCAGAAGTTTTTATTTAGCACTTTTATTAATTTTAACAAGACGTTCTTTTGGTGTAACAGGTGACATGTCAGGCTGCTAACTGAAAGGTCAGTAGGCCCACCAGCTGTGGGAGAAAGATGAGCATTCTCCTCCCATAAAGATATATAGCCTCAAATACCTAAGGCAGGGTTGAGATAAGTTGGATTCAATGCACCAGCTTTTAATTTATTATCATTATTATTATTATAGTAATTTCTTATCATTTAATAATCTTTATAATTTAAGTATTCAAATTCTTAGATAAGATTTAATTGCATGAAAGACACCCACAATTTTGTATGTGCACACAAAAATACATTGGAAAGGTCAATTGTCTCCTGAACTATATTAGTTTTCTTCATCTTTACATGCTTGATACCTCTGTTTTGGTTTATTTGTCCCTTGGTGAATGATTTTTCTTAGGTATTTTCCTCAAAGTTAGCATTTCCTTTTCTTAAGTCTTTTCCTAAAGATGGTACTTAAATAATAAACTGTTAGAATTCCTATGCATCTCAGATTTCCTCCTTTCATTTTAGCAGAGGTATGATATCCTGGCTGAGTATGATTCTAGAGTTGTAGTCATCTTCTCAAAAGTGTCTGTAGAGGCCATTCATCTGTCACTTAGCTTCCAGTGTTATGCATGAGCATGTCAAAGCCAGTATGGCTTTGCTTTTCCTTGTTCCTTTTGTTTAGTTGCTAATAATGTTTTTTCCTTTAGATACAATTACCGTTATATACACATGTGTCTTTTATATTTAGCATGAATCTTGGTAAGTTTGCTGCCTGGGTTCTGATTTGAACTCTACCAGGTAGTGAGTAAGAAATCTTGAGTAAGATATCCGATACCTCTGTGCTTAGTTTCTCATTTCAAAGTAAAAATATTGGTGATACGTCACAGAATAATGTATTAGATGAATTAGCATTTATATAGTGATTAGAACAGTGCTTTAGCATGTAGGAGGTATATAAATATTAGCTTCTAATATATAATTCTTCCTCAACAAGATGAATTGATGTTGTGACTACCACAATGGCTATGAGCACCATAAAGATCATGAGGACAGTGTAGGACAGGGCAAGATTCAGATCTGTTGTTTATAGAGTTGCTGTGAATCATAGCCAACTCAATGATATCCATGATATCCAGCAACAATACATAATTGCTCTGTCTTCTTCAAGTTGGGATTCTTCAGTTGTTTACGTACTACTGCTCCAACCGTTTAATGAATGTAAACTTTCTTTTTTTCTACTTCTGAAATTTCCCTTAGAAATGTTGCATTTCCTAAATCTATTCCAAATCTTTTATTCTTTCTCAAATGGCATCCGTATCGTTTTTATTTTGTCTCTTCATGATGAATTTTTCTTGAGCTTTATCTTTTAAAGTATGACAAAAGTTATAGAAATATGCCTTATTTTGTTATTTGAATTTTGTAGTTACTTTTTTTCTTTTACTTTCTGACAGCTTTTTTGGTCTTGCATTTAAATATCTCCAGAAGGTCTGACTTTATTCAAATATTTATCTGTGTCTTTAGAATTCCTATTTCACTAGATATTTGATTCTTCTCTTGCTTGTACTCTAGCTATTGATCAATCTCCTTCCATTAGATGTTGTTATGTACTATGGGGTCCCATTGACTCATAGTTGACCCTCTACCAGGCTTTCAGAGGCATGGGAAATAGCCCATCTTTCCCTGCTGAGCAGCTGTATTTGAACCACGTTGCTTTGTATTGAGAGGCAACTCATTAACACCAAGTCACCAGAGCTCCCTTTCTATTAGATGATACATTCTTTTTCTCTATTGGCTCATTTGAACTAAAAAGGTGTTATTAAAGTATTTCAGATGGTGATAATTCTATAAATGGTGAAAGGCAGTAGGCTTAATTATGGAAGAACTGTCATCCCCTGCTGTGACACTTATAGGAAATACCTGTATCCTCTGATCTCCTTACTTTCCCCTAAATCCACTGGCTCCCCCACTCCTCTCTCAGCTATGATGCTGTTCAATAATCAGTTGATTCCACTGCAAAGAGTTTTCCTGCCAGTTCTTTCTCCTGGGACCCAGTAGCCTCTCTTAGTACCAATTGCTATAGATCTGACCAATCTGATCATTACTTGACTCAACTAAAATAAAAAAAAAAGAAATTAGGAAACCAAGAGAGGCATCTAATTTCAGATTATCAAATTTCCAGAATGTAGGGAATTCTGGTGGCCTAGTGGCAAGAAGCTGCACTGCAATCCCAGAAGTGCATGGTTCGAGTCCACCAGATGCTCTGCTAGTGCTATACCAGTCAGATCTGATTTGACAGTACATGCACACAAAATAACATTTTTTAAAAATTTTTTAAAAATTCCAGAATGCATGGTTTCTTTTTTACATTTAAATCTTTAATCCATCTAGAATTTCCTCTTGTATAAAGTATTAAAATAACGACTTTCCCCCAACTGCTAGTAATCTAACCATTGTATATATATATAAATGCAAATCTGTGTGACCACCTACACCTACCTGCTGTGTTTGTATAAAAATTCATTTTTAAGAAAAGTAAAAAATATCTAAAGGCAACAGTAAGTTTCTTTCTTACTGTCACTTTGACTTCCTAAGACCAAGAGTAAGTTCTGTCTTTCTAATTACGACCACTAGCAAAGGAAGTCTGTTCCAGCCTGTGAGAACATGGCAGAGTTATTTTGGAGAGGCTGCAGCAATTCCAGTAAGAATCCATCCCCAGAGCATTGTCTCAACATCTCTCCGTTAGTAGGCCATTGTCACTGAAAATGGCATTTTCCAGTAGGGAGGTTAAGTACTGTTTCTGTTTTTTGTAATATTTTCATTTTTCAACATTGCATTACATGTAAGGAGGAATATCATGTTCTGAATTGCATTGGGGAAGTCTGCTGTCAGGAACTTTTCCAAAGTCCTAAAGAGTAATGATGCCAGTCCAAGGTCTAAGGTGCACCTGGTCCAGGCCATATTCTTCACAATTACTTGCTATGCATCACAAAGCTGGACAGACAGTGACTAAAGATGACAGAAGATTAATTGGTGCCTTTGAGTTGTGGTACTGGAGAACAGTACTGAGCATACCATGGACCTCCAAGAGAATACACAAGTCTGTTCTTGAAAGAGTGAAACAAAGTTCCTCCTTGAAAGCCAGTATTTTTAATTCTTTCTTACATATTTTAGGCATGTGGCCAGGAGGGATCAGTCCTTGGAGAGTTCATCATGCTTGGAAGGGTGGAGGGACAGCACAGGAGAAGAAGGCCCTGAATGAGATGGATTGACACAGTAACTAGGGTAATGGGGGTAGATGTGTCAGAGGCAGTGAGATCCGTTCAGGACAGGGCAGGGTTCAGAGCTTTATCATCCATATAAAGGCATTTTCTAGCAAAATCTCAATTTTAAGAATCTTTTAACCACCTTTTGTATTTCTGTTCTCTTCCTTTAGTATCCTAACATGGTTCTTTCCTCCCCAACAGGGATCACCAACTATTGATAATTGTCAATTATTTGCTACCTCTTCATATCCTCATTCACAGCTTGAATTTTATTTTTTCTCATTGAAGTCATTCCTTTATCTATACTTTCTACTCTCTTGCTTCTTATTCCATTTAGATATTAGAAACAAAAGAACATGTTCTAATTATCAAATGTACGAGCCTATCAGTCTGCCCATATATTCTGATTTATCCTTATTATAAAAACTGTTCTTCTACTCCATGGCCTTTTTCTCTAGTAGACCATTCATTTCACACTTGTTGTAATTTTTTGCAACAAAAAAATAGCAGCCCTGTCTTGAACTCCTATTTTCTTCCATCTGTCATTCCTTAATCTCCTTCCCTTTATAGCACAACTACTGAAGCTATTATCAATATTTGCTGCCCCTGCTTCTCTCTTGATATTCTGTCTTCTATCTGCCTCTATCAGGCTTTCATTGCCAGTGCTGTACTGAAACTGCTCTTGTCAAGGTTACCACTTGCCTCCATGTTGCTGGATCCAACAGGCAATCCTTAATCACAATCTAGCTTACTTTTACCCAGTGATCATACTATTCCCTGAGACATCCCCCTCTGCTTTGTTTTGTTACTACCACTCTGCCAAGGTATTCTTCTTATATCAGTATACTGTGCTGGCCTCTCATCTTGCAGACCACTCTACTTTGGTGAAAGCTAGCACCCAATCTCTAGACTTCTCTTGTGTTCAAGATTATCTCTTTCAGTTCTACCATTCTAGGTGCCGTTTATAAACTCACCATTCCTAAATTTATATTTAAAAATAAAAACAAAACTCACTACCATCAAGTGAGTTCCAACTCATCTGTCTCTCATGGAGCCACTGGTAGATTTGCTGCCCAAGACACAGGCCTTTTAGTTAGCAGTACAACACACTAGGTTCTATGCCATCATAGCTCCTTTGTTTATATCTCAGCTATTGTGTTCCTCAACATCTTACCTAAACTATATACCTATATATCCACTGACCCACTTGACAGCCATACTGTTACTTAAGTAAAAAATCTTTCATCATCCCATATTGTTGTCTTCCCTTCACATTCCACATCAAATCCATTAATACATCTTGTTGACTTGATCTTCAAAAAATATCCAGAATCCAACCATTTCCTGCCACCACTACCACTCTTAAGATACTGCTATCTCTTGTCTGGATACTCTAACTGGCCTGTTAACAGAGCAGTCAGAGTAGTCTTTTTGAAATGTATTGACTTGTTATTCTTCTGCCCCAAACCCTCCAGTAGTTTCCTTATCTCTTTCAGACCAGAATCTGGAAGTCTTTAAAAAATAAAACAAATCCTCATTCAGCCAGTCAATCCCAACTCTTGGCCACCCTTCATCTGGATTCTCCAGCTGCAGAAAACAGCTTGACTTTTTCTAAGAGCAGCTGGTAAATTCAAACCACCATACCTTTCAGTTAGCAGCAAAGCAGTCTATGCACCAGAAGTCTTTAGGCTCTTTAAAGAACCTACAAAGTATAACATGACCTAATAAATTTCTTATTCCCTTCCCAGATACAGTAATATTACATTTCCCTCACTCTCTGTTGTCAAGTCAATTCCAACACATAGCTGACCCTCTGTTAAGTTTCTGTAGCTGTAAATCATAGTGAGAGGAGACTGATCATCTTTCTCCTGTGGAGTCACTAGTGGATTCAGACCACTAGAGACAGGGTTAGCAGCAAAATTGACTACAGACTATGCCACTAGAGGGCCCTAAAAATACAGCATGTGCTTCTTTAGCCCATTCATACTGTGATTGGCATCTATTAAGTAGATAAGTGGTGAAATCACGCTTCGATTCTTGAGCACAGCATTAAAAACAAGTGTACAGTCTGGCATACTGTCTTTCCCCCACTACAGAATGGCAGTGTTCCATCCAAATGATGGCCACTTCATCACATTGGGTTCCATTGTGAGTACCAGAGGGTTCAGATGACCAACTATGGCATGTTGTAATAATGTACTTTAAACAACTAATATTCATGAGTTATTACAACATGCCATAAAGTCCAGCTCATCTTGACAAAATACCAGGTTTCTTCACTAATATTATCACTGTACTCCCTCTCCCTCTATGCTTTTGGTTACACCGGCCTCCTTACTATTCTGTAGACACACTAAACATACAATTATCTTGGGACTTTAACTGCTTGGAACTACCAGGAAAGTGTAAAAAAGCAAATGTTACTCTTGGAATATTGATTCTTCAAGTTATATATAAGACTTAATTCCTATATCAATATTTGTGTTTATAGGCTGGTACATTTGTTTTAGACCCAATGTGTGGACTTGGAACAATACTTTTGGAAGCTGCTAATGAATGGCCAGTAAGTTGTAAAATTTGCTGAACCAAACATTATATTAATATATATTATTACAAATAGATTATAACTTGTAATTATATGATATGCTATTTAGCTGCATCCACTCCTTACTTATGAACATGGTAATGTTCCAAAGACCATGTCATTATGAAAAAGTCATCACTAAATGAGGATTGGGGATGACTACATCATCACATAACCGCCAAACCACTGACAATCAGGGCCCAAACCAACATAGCCATCACAGCCAGAGGAACTCTCACCTTGCACCTCTGCATTCATTATTGCTAGACCTACGTCATTAATGCAGAGAATGCCTAGACAGTAGATTTCACTATTATCCTAAATGTAAAATATCAGAAAAACTGGCCAGTTAGTGAGGAGTAAGTGTAGTCAAGATAGGTAATAAAGGGTTAATTAAAAGACTGTTATTTTCTTAAGTATGGTGATAAATTTAGAAAAGCATAGACTACCTATAATTCATCATGACCCAGTTCAGACAAGTCTCGCCATCATTTAGATAAATATATCAGTTGTAAAATGTAAGATTTTAAAAAAATTAAGAACACTTTACTTTTTAAATTAAAGACCATTTAATAGAAGTTTTTAAGTCTATTTTAGCCTGAAGTAATATACCTGTTAGTTTCATTTTTGTAATTTGAAAATAAATGGAAGTAGAGATTTTTTTACTATACAAAATGATTTTATTTTTATTTAACATATTAATTTCTCTCTTGTAGGATGTATATTATATGGGTGCAGATGTCAGTGACTCACAGTTACTAGGGGCATGTGACAATTTGCAAGCTGCAGGCCTTAATGACAAAATTGAACTACTTAAAGTCTCTGCTGTAGGTAAGATACTAAAAATAAAAAAATGTGGAGAAAATGAATATGTAACTATATAGATAATCATAACAAAATTTTAACTTATTTTCCATACAGGATAAATTGTTCAAATCCTGTGGTATCCTTTTGAGAGTAAAAGTTTATTTATAGTATGATAATTAGAACTTTTTCTTCCCCAAAACATTCATTATTAGGAAGTACTGTTTAACCGGTTTCCCCTAAACATTTAAGAGATATTTGGTGAGTTTGTAATGGTAAGAAGTTGCGCTGCCAACTCAAAGACTGTTTGAATCCACCAGCTTTTCCACAGGAGAAAAATGAACTGTCTCCTCCTGGGTGATTAACTGCCTCTGAAAGTCCGCAAGGGGGGCTGCATTGAGTTGATTCCAACTCAAGGGTACACAACAAAAACAAGAATAAAATACACTTTTCAAAAGGTGTGTTTAATGCATTTGAGTGGTTTTTTATATTGAAACTATGGATCAATAAAGAGAACACTTTAACAATGTTAGAAACTCATTGATTTCTTTCAGCAAAACTAATAAAATCTCTCCATTTTATTACCTCCTCTCTTTTGCTTCATCTTGGACAGCAGTAAGTGGTGAACCCACGACTTTAAGTGATGTTGTTAGGTGGCATCAAGTTGAGTATTACTCATAACAATCCTATGAACAACAGATCTGACCCCTGTTCTATCCTGTACCATCCTCACAATCTCTGACACACAGCCCATTGTTGCAGTCACTATGTCCATTCTCCTGGTTGAAGGTCTTCTCCTTTGCTATCCCTCTCCAAGCGTGATGTCCTTCCCCAAGGAATAGCCTTTCCTAGCAAGATGCTCAATGTGTGGCAAAGTTTTGCAATCCTTGCCTCCAAGAAGCACTCTAGCATCACCTTCTCCAGACATATCTTTATTCCAATACTTCAGTTCAAAGGCATCAATTCTTCTGTCATCCTTATTATTTATCCAGCTCTCAGAAGCATAGCAAGTGATTGAAAAGATCGTGGTCTGACTCAGGTATACCTTAGACTTCAAACTAACATAATTTCTTCTCAAGAATAATTTGAAGAGGTCCCTGACAGCAGACTTTCCTAGTATAATATGTCTCCTGATCTCCTTACTGATAGTACCAAGTGAACTGAATCCAAGAAAGATGATGAATTTGACAGTCTCAATCTTTTCTCCATCTACTAATGCTTTATTGATTTACAAAAGTATTTGGGAAGAATGTGAATTCCGAAACACTTAATTGTGCTCATGTAAAAATGATACCTAGACCATAAGGCTATTGTGCAAACAGAGCAAGGGAACATACATGGTTTAAAGTTAAGAATGGTGTTTGTCAGGGTTGTAGCCTCTCTCCATACCTATTCAGTCTGTATACTAAGCAAATTCTTTGAGAAACTGGACTCTGTAAAGAAGAATGTGGCATCGGGATCAGAGGAAGACTCATAGTAATGTGTTATGCAGATGACACAACCTTGTTTGTGAAAGTGAGGAGAACTTGAAGCACTTGCTTCAGAAAATCAAAGAATATAGCCTTCAATATGGATTGTATCTCAATGTCAGGAAATCAGAAATACTTACCACTGACTGGATCAGTAGGCAACATCATGATAGATGGAGAAAAGATTGAAGATCTTAGCGACTTCATCTTACTTGGATTCACAATCAACACCGTTAGTATCAGTAGTCAGGAAATCAGAAGCTGTATTGCACTATAAAGCTAGCTGTCTAGGACCTTTCCAAATTACTGAGGAGCAGTGATGTCATTTTGAAGACTAAGGTGCACTTGACTCAAGTCATTGTCTTTTTGGTCACTTGCTATGCATCAGAGAGCTGGGCAATGAATAAGGATGGTGGAAGAATTGATGCCTTTGAGCTGCGATGTTGGAGGAGAGTGCTGAATATCCCATGGACTGTCAAAAGAACAAATCTTGAAGAAAGTGCAACCAGAGTGCTCCTTGAAGTCAAAGATGATAAAGCTTTGTCTCACATACTTTGGGCATGTTGCTAGGAGAGGTTATTCCTTAGGAAGGGACATCATGCTTGGAAAGGTGGAGGGGTCAGAGAAAGAGAGGAAAACCTTCAAGCAGATGTATCAACACGGTAATTGTCAGGAAGTGTGGGGATGGCCCAGGATTCAGATCATTGTTCATAGGGTCACTATGGGTCATACTCAACTTGGTGGCACCTAACGATATCGTCATAATGTTGCCTCTCGGTCCAGTGGTGAGAACTTTCATTTTTTTGAGCTGTAACCCATATTGAAGGCTGTATTCTTTGATCTTCTACAGCAAGTTCAAGTCCTCCTCACTTTTGGCAAGCAAGACTGCCTTCTGCATACTGAAGATTATTAGTAAGTCTTCCTCCAAGCCTGATACCACATTCTTCTTCATAGAGGCCAGATTCTTGAATAATTTTCTCAGTGTACAGATTGAATAGGTATTGAGAAAAGATACAATCCTAAGACACACCTTTCTCAATTTTATGCTATGCAGTGTTACCTTGCTCTGTTCGCACAACAGCTTTTTGGTCTAGGCATAGGTTTTACATGAGCACAGTTAAGTGTTCTGGAATTCCTATTCATCTCAGTGTTAGCCATATTTTTTTTATGATCCATACAGCCAGATACTTTTGTGTAGTCAATTAAGCAACAAATAGACATTCTTCTAGTATTCTTTACTTTCATCCCAGATATGTTTGACATCAGCAGTGATATCCTGGTGTCACAACCTCTTCTAAATACACCCCGAACTTCTGGCAGTTCTCTATGTTCGGGTCTAGCACTTTCTGAATGATCTTCAACATTATTTTACTTGCATGTGATATTAATGATATTAGTCAACAATTTCCACATTCTGTTGGATCACCTTTCTTGGAAATGGGATACAGTGATACAAAAGGAAATTCCCAGGCATTCTAGGACATTTCAACAGAACTCATACAATCAAGTGAGAACCATCTCTTAGTTGACCCTTCAGCAGGCTTTTAGATGCTGTAATTCACATTAGAAGAGTTTGCCTGTCTTTTATGGAGCAGCTTGTAAATTTGAATCAACTGCCTTTGGACTGGCAGCACAACTCCTTATCCACTAGACAGTTAGACACCCTATAAGGCAAAGGACAAACATTAACCCATATTTACTGATGTGGAATTAGTAGGGACAAATATGGCTTAGAATAAAATTATTTTAATGAATTAATCAAAGCAGTATTTTTCTAAGATCCCTGATATTTAAACTGTTTTAGAGACACCTCACATTCCTTTGTGTTTCCTGTCCTCTTAGTGAATTTCCTTTTTAAAAAAAAAAAATAGCACATTTAATAATTCCCAGCTTAGAATGTTGTACACTTTGCCTGAACAGAACCTGATAGATAAAACTTGGAATTGAACCTATAATCAGAGAAAAGTATGGCTTAAAAATTTTTATTGCGGTGAAAACATAGATGAGTTTCAGCAATAAGAAACTATTAGGATAAACCTAGCAAATAAAGCAGGCCTCAGGAACAAGTTGTATTGTTGATTGAGATGATGGTGGTTTGCTGCATTCTTACCTTTCCTCCTTTTTAATAGGACTCTTGACATATATGACACAGCGAACTCCAAGAAGCCATTAAACTAAAACTGGTTCTTTAAGAAAACTAAAATAGCATCACAAGTTATTCAGAACAGTGGTTTTTCAAACCTTTAAATTCTTCAAATTGTCTTACAGACATGAGTAAAAGAGTATTGATTTAGCTGGGCTTGAATCTAAGACCTGTTTTCACTTTGGGTAGCATTTTCCATGTCTACCTCGATTTGGGGGAAATATTTCACACAAGATTTCACTTTAAGAACAAATGAAAAGTGTCCTGCTTAAAAAAAAAAAAAAATAAAGGATGGAAACAGCAGTTAGGTGATTATTAGTTTTAACAGTAAGAAATGATGATGGCTTTGGACAAAGTGATTTTCCTAGAGTTGTTTTAATGAGGTCAGATTCTGCCTATACGTTTTTAAAAAGAATTTTTGTTGAGCCAATGGCATGTGTTGTTAGAATATTGTATGTGGGATACAAGAAAAACAATGACTTAGGTGCTCTGATGGCCTAGTGGTGTGGGAAAGCTGCAATCGCAAAGGCATGTGGTTTGAATCCATGGCAGAAGGATGGCAGTCTTCTCTCATGCCATTAACTGCCTTTGAAAATCTACTGGAGGGTCTGCTATGAGTCAGCTCCAACTTAATGATAAACAAGCACAACAAAACAAGGCCTTTTTTGCATGAGCAGCTAGAGAATGGAGTTCCCATTTACTGTATTAGGGCAGATTGCCAGAGGGACATGAGTTTTTGACATGTTAAGTTTGATGAGTTTTAGACATGTTAAAATTAATGAGAATATATTATTAGACACCAAGTGGAGATATCAAGCTGGTAGTTAGAGATAGGAGGATGGAGTTTTGTAGGACACTGTCCATCCTCAGTATAGAAATTTGGGTGTCACCTGTATAAATAGTATGTAAACACATGAGATCACCTGGAGAATGAATATCAAAAGGAGGACTGAGCACTCTGATGTTCACCTTTCCAGAAAATGGAGATTTAATAAAGGAGTGTAGCCAGTGAAGTAAGGGTAACTGAGTATTCCATAATTCAGGGAAGAAAGAATGAGTTGCATCACATGCTACCAGGTGGTCAAATAAAGTGAGAACTGGTAATTGAGGATATGAAGTGATGTTTCCATGGAGCAGTGGGAACAAGGCCTGCCTGGAGTGAATCCTGGATTTCATGCCATCAGAGAAGATAGAGAGCTTAGATGATTGCATTTTCCTGGTAAAGGGAGTAGAGGAAAAGAGACACTAGAGGAGACAGAAGATCAGGAGTAGTCAAACAGGGAATTTTTGTTTTGAGTTTCTTTTTTCTTTTATTTCATCATTTTTACACATTTCTCCCCTCCCCCAGCACACCTGTTGTTCCGGATTGTTCTCATAAATATAAAGTATAATCATATATTCCTTTCTGACAGTTC